TTAAAAAGTTTAATAAAAAATATAAAATAAATTTAAAGTAAAAAATTACAGTTATTTTGAAATGAAATTAGTAATTTTTTTCATTTACTTACATTTTTTTTTTTTGCAAATTTTTACCCCCAGAAAAAATCATTTTAGGTCATTTCTAATCTATAACTTTTGTGTTGATTATATTTTTAGAATTATTTTATAGTAATTTTATTTTTTAATATTATTTGTTGGCCATAAAAGAGCTAATATATATATATATGCAATATTTGTATATTTAAATAAAAGTGAATATATATATTTCACAATTAATTCAATTACAAATATTTGTTCTATTAGAAATTTAAATATTTTAAAATATTTTGAATTATATCCAGAATTACAATTCTAGACAAAAATTTTTTATAATAATATGAAGTATGTGTTATAACTAACAACTTTTCTGTTAGTTATATTAATCAATTTTTTATTGTAAAGCTTCATTAAATATATATATATATTATAATCAATAACTTGTTTGTCAATTATAGGGAATTTTTTAATAATATTTTTTTTTTTGTCAGAGACCTTTATAATTAGCGTGTTGTCTTGAAGATTATATTCAAAATTCAAGTCGTAGGCCAACAAATAAAAAAATTAATTTTTTAAATATATTAAATCAATATATGATGCTTCTTTAAGGTTGTTTGGGAAGATATTAGTTTTGAGAAGTGTAAAAATTAGTTTAAGAACAGCTTAATTGTCTTAAAAAATTAAAAAAGATAACGTAAAAATCAAATAAGTAATGAAATTGCAGAAAAAAGAAAGTGAGATTTTGAGTGTTTTCTTAAAATTTAAAGGGATCATTTTTATTTGAAATTTAACAAATTTAAAATCTAAATTATAATTGATTATTTGTTTTAAAATATAGAAACGGCAACCATTGCTTTCAATTGACACGTCAAACGTCGTTAGCGGTAGGAGGTGATTTCCATCCATCAACGGGTCTAAGGGTTTAGGTGCACATTTTTCAGTTTAAGAACTTACACGCTAGTATGGGATTAGTTTGAGGGTCTGACTCTGGGTTTTGCCAATGATACATATACATGTTCTGGGATGCTACTTGAATGGTATTTGGTGCAGTTTCTGAGTGCGGTTTTATCATTAAAAAAAAATAAAAAATCAGTTATTAGCTGTGGCCTGTGGGTTCCTAAGCACTCTCTAGTCTTATTTGATCTTCTTTTAATCATGATGTCCCAAACAAGTGGTATTGCTCTCGCTCTCAAGGTAGCTATCGT